CCTGTCTAGTCCTTCGAATCCGAACCCTCGGACGGGAGCGCCGCCGCGCTTCCCAAGCGGCGCACTATCCAGTGCGCCACCGGGCCGGCCCTAACTGTAAGCTTCTTAAAGGAAGAAATCTTGCCTACTCATGCTGGTACTTCTAGTGATTAAACAAAACCTGGAATATATGGGCCGGCCCGTGGCTCACTCGGGAGAGTGCAGTGCTGATAACACCAAGGCCCCGGGTTCGGATCCTATATAGGGATGGCCGGTTTGCTCACTGGCTGAGTGTGGTGCTGACAACACCAAGTCAAGGGTTAAGATCCCCTTACCGGTCATCTTTAAAAAAAAAAAAACAAAACCTGGAATATAATAAGCCCCCAGTGACAGAATAAATAAAATGTCAACTAGGAGTACAGGAAAATGTCCTGAGAAAAGAAACTTCCAGAAGAATGGTTCTCAAAGACTGGTCCCTGGACAGCACCATGAAAATCACCTGGGAATTTAGGAGACGTGCAGATGCAGGGCTCCACCCTAGACCTACTGAGTCAGAAGTTCTGGGATGGGGCCCAACCACCTGCATTTTAATAAGCCTTCTGTCTTAATCCATTTCGTGTTGCTGTAACAGAATACCACAGACTGGGTAATTTATAATAAAAAGAAATTTATTTCTCACGGTTCTGAAGGAAGGCTGGGAAGTCTAAAGTTGTGAGGCCTGCATCTGGCAAGGGCCTACTTGCTGTGTCTTTCCATGGTGGAAGGAGGAAGGGCAAGAGAGGGCAGGAGCAAGAAAGGGGCAAACTCACTTTTATAGTAACCCAGTCCCACAATAACCGCATTAATCCACTCATGAGGGCAGAGCTGTCACGGCCTAATTACCTCTTAATGGTCCCACCTCTTAATACCGTCACGATGGCAATTCAATTCCCATGTGAATTTTGGAGGGGACATTCAAACCATAGCACCTTCTAAGTCATCCCCATGCACGTTAAAGCTTAGAAGCAATGCAGTAGAGCTATCCTCAGGCCAGTACTCTCTGTGTATAAAAGTAATGAACATTTTTGCTAACTATATTCAGGCCCCATGATCAGTCTTTACATGTGTGATCTCATTTACTTCTCACGACAACACTGTAAGGTAGGTGTTATTACCATTCCCATTCTACAGATAAGGAAACTGGGGCTTAAAGAGATTCAGTGACTTGCTTGAGGTTTCATAAGCATAAGTAGAGGGCCTGGTGGGAGCCCCGGCAGTCTGGCTCCAGGAGGTGGGATTCACTGTGAGGCAGGGGTCTCAGCGGGCTGTTGCAGCCCCTACCAGAGCCCCAGAGTTTAAGTAGGGAGCTGGGATCCAGCTCGGTCTCTTCATCATTTGGGGAACTCATGTCAGCCTCTTCAGGTTTCAGTTCTTTAACTGAGGAAATTATGAGAAAAAATTTAGGTTGAAATGAGTCTATTAACGTGCTTGAAAATTTTTCAGAATTACACGTATGTAAGACGTTATTTGCACATTTTCTGCAAACCCAACACAAATCTTGAGAAAGGTGAAGTAACTCTGCCACCCACTCCTGCGCCCACCAGCACCACACATGTGCCTCTCACCCCCTCAAGCGGCAAAAGTCAGATTGCAAATGCCTAGGTCTAAAAAGTAAGGAAAGGCTGTCCCCTGCTGTCTAAGATGATGAATGACCCCAACCTGATACCTGCCTCACTGGTCTAAGCTACTTCTATGGAAGAAAATGCTGCATGCGCACTGGAGCATACTGTCCAGAGCGGCAACACTGGAACCAGCTCCATCAGGATTAAAAGAAACGATGACGCCAAGACAGAGAGGTATGATTATTTGTAAGGCCTGTGGGGATGAGAGTCCCCAGCTAAATAATCAAAAGGAAACTGTTACTCAGAGGGCAAATTATTCATGGGCAAAAAGGATAAGTAAGACAGGAAAGCATACAAAATAGATCAAAATAAATCATTATGTTGATGACAGTGTGCCTCAATGGGGGAAGTAATAAAGAAGGGGTCTTGCCACATTCCAGTGATGAAAGCATCCACGACCTTTTATTCAGGTGTATGGTAGAGTATTGTGAGATCTGTCACTATTAATGAGGGAAGCAAACAGACTGCCTTCTCTTCTTCTTTTTTCCCTAAATTCTAAGCTATGCCCTTAGATGCAGCTTCTGGAACCCCTAGATAGCTGTGTGATGCTCTCCATGGCTTACACCTGGTCTGTTCCAGTCAGGGGATAAGCTGTGGGTCCCAACCTGACACTGTAACAAAAACATCTGGGGTGATTTTCTGTTTGGTTTTTTATTTAAATATAAATAAACTCAATCCTAGATATTTTAACTCAAAAGTTTATGGGGACAAATCTGCATTTTCACAAGCTTCCTAAGTGATTGGGACCCCACTGAACAAATTTAGAACCTTAAAAGAGGTTTTTACATAAATTGATCTTCTTTAGAAAAAAAATAGGGACTTTGTAAATTGAATAGGTAATTTTTTAAGTAGCTGATTTTCAAATATTACATAGAGCAATATTCTGTTGTATTTTTTCTTTTTAAATTCCATTAATTTAAGTTTGATTTTTAAATAGATAATATAGCTATATGGCCCCCAAATGGAAACAATACAACATAAGGTCAACACTGAGAAATGTTATTTTTACTTCCAGTCTACTTCACTCATCCTTAAAAAGTAATCACTTTTATCAGTTTCTTTTGCATCTTTCTAGTGTTTCTGGTTGTAGAAACAAGCAAACAAAAGTATTTACCCCTTTATTGGACAAAAGGTAGCATATACATCTATGCTATTCTGCAGCTTGTTTTTTTCTAGTTAACAATGCATCTTATACCTACACCCCCACGTTTATTGCAGCACTATTCACAATAGCCAAGATATGGGACCAACCTAGGTGTCCACCAACAGAGACAAAAGGTAGCATATACATCTATGCTATTCTGCAGCTTGTTTTTTTCTAGTTAACAATGCGTCTTATACCTACACTCCCACGTTTATTGCAGCACTATTCACAATAGCCAAGATATGGGACCAACCTAGGTGTCCACCAACAGATGACTGGATAAAGAAAATGTGGTATATGCACAATGGAATACTACTCAGGCATGAAAAAGAATGAAATCCTGTCAATTGTGGCACAGAAAGATAAATACCACATATTCTCACTCATATATGGGAGCTCAAAGAATAATAAGTTGAACGTTTAGAAGTACAGAATAGAATTGTGATAACTAGAGGCTGGGAAGGGGATGGGAGAAGGGGGATAGTGAGAGGTTGGTTGATGGACACAAACTTACAGCTAGATTAAAAAAATAAGTTCTAGTGGTATCCAATAGCTCTAGGCATGTATAATTAATGATAATTTATTGTCAAATGGTTAGAAGAGCCTAAATGTTCTCATCACAAAGAAACAATAAATTTTTTGATGATGCATTTTCCAACTACCCTGATCTTATCATCATGTATTATATACATTATTGAAATTTAACTCTGTACCCTATAGATATGCGCAATCAATACATTTCAATGAAAAAAAAAATAAATTCCTTAAAAAAATAAAAAAATTAGACCTTAAAGCTTTTGATAACAATATAAAATGTTTTCATTTCTTCTTAGCACTGAATAACGTTCCATTGTGTGAATATATCCCAGTTTACTTATCCATTCCCTTACTGATGGGCACTTGAGTCTTTTTCAATCATTCACTATTCCAGATAGTAAAGATATTTTACACACAATTTTTTTTTTTAGATTTGTATGCAAGAGTATTTACAGAATTAATTTCCACAGGTGTTGTGGAGAAAAGACAACTCTTGTACACAATTGGTGGGAATGTAAATTAGTACAGCCATTATGGAAAACTATATGGACACCTCAAAAAACTAAAAATAAAATTACCATATTATCCAGCAATCGCACTTCTGGGTATTTACCCAAAAGATTTGAAATCAAGTTTGTTGAAAAGATGTCTGCACTCCATGTTCATTGCAGCACTAGTCACAATAGCCAAGTTATGGAATCAATTTAAGTGTCCATCAACAGATTAATGGATAAAGAAAATGTGCATTTATACACAATGGATTCCTGTTCAGCCTTTAAAAAGAAGGAAATTCTGTCATCTGTAACAACATGGATGGAATTGGAGAACTTTAGGCTAAATGAAATAAGCCAATCATAGGGAGACAGATACCACATGTTCTCTCTTATATGTGGGATCTAAAACAATTGAACTCATAGCACAGAGAGCAGGCTGGTGGCTACAGAGGATGGGGTTTGGGAGAAACAGGGAGAAGATTTCCAAAGGGTGCAGGAGAATTAAGTTGCCGGACACGGAAAAAGACAAAAGACAAAAAAATAAATAAATAAAAAATAAAATAAAAAATAAAAAATTTCCATAGGTGGGATTTCTGGTGACATAGTAAATGCATTTGTATTTTTTATAGATGTTTCCATATTGCTCCCCATAAGGGCTTTATCACTTTGCCATCCTACCTCTAATCTGTGTGTAACGGTGCTTATTTCACCAACAGCTAGCCAATAGAATGGTCTTCCATATTCAATTTTTCAAATTGGTTAAAAGGAGTATATCTATGCATTTTTATTTTGCATTAATCACTGTGAGATTTTTTCCTATGGTTAAGCACCATTTAATTTTCTTTTTTTCCCTCTGAATCATCTGCTCTTTGCCCATTTTTATTGGGCTGCTAGATTATGTTCATATTGATTTCTGGGACTTCATCACATATTACAAAGATTAGTCCTTGTGATGAGAGTTGCAGATATTTTCCCCAGATTGCCATTTGTCTTTTGACTTAGTTTATATTTGTCCATGAAGGCGTGCCATTATTATGTAGTCAAGTTTGATTTTTTTTTCTCCTTTTAGGTTTTAAGTTATACTTTGAAAGGCAATAAAAGGAAGCACCATCTGGTGAGATGATATCTAAGTCACTTAACTGCAGGTTAAATTTCAAAGTCATCTTGTGTAGGGTCAACCCGTGGCTCACTTGGGAGAGTGTGGTGCTCATAACACCAAGGCCACGGGTTCAGATCCCTATATAGGGATGGCCGTTTAGTTCACTTGGGAGAGCGTGGTGCTGACAACACCAAGTCAAGGGTTAAGATCCCCTTACCGGTCATATTTTGGGGGGAAAAAAAAAAAGTCATCTTGTGCAGGGAAAATAAAGTATCTACTGACAACTGAAAATGTTACTACCCTTCAGGGAAGAGAAGGATAAAACTGTGACCATGATCATGTGACCTTACAACTGTATCTGAGTGTTTTCCAGTCTTCCTCTGTTTTTCCAGCCTCCACGTCCATTTCCCCCAACTCCCTTTACTGACTTACTCTGACCCCTGAGGCCAACAGTGAGAGCTGACATCACATGTGGTCTTCCCTCACCCCCCACCCATTCCTGGCCAAGCTCTCAGCTATTGTTTCATCTGACAATCTAGAGAAGTCCTCCCTCGCTGAAGCTCATGGTCAGTTCTCCAGAGAACTCCAGACCCCAGCTGACCAGCCTAGAGGTTTAGAGTTGGCTAGAGGGACGGAGTCTGGGTACTTAGAGGTTTCATTCTAAGAAAGGTGTGATCTCCGAATGACGCAGAGCCTGGGGTAACACCAGGGCAGATGCTGCTTCCTGACGGGGTAGGACCCCACTGTGACGACAGCTTGGAGAGGGGCGTAAACTAAGAGAAAGCCAGCCCCATCAGCAGACAACTTTGCAAAGACACAGCTCCAAGGAGCTCAGACATCCTGAAGATAGGGCGTGGGGGTGAGGGGAGAGCCCCCCTGGACTGGTCCACACCCCACCACCATCTCGCACAATGGGGATTGATGTCACCAGCCCCCGTCCTCCACTCCCCTCAAAGGAACAGCTGCTGGAGTGGTTTCTTCCAGGCTCCCAGGGGCGGTGCCCTGGGAGGGGCCATTTTTGTACAAAGCTGTAACATTGTGGGGACAGGGGCCACGGTGATTCAACTCTATGGGAAATCTTTACAAAAACCTTTCTGCCTGTCCCAGCACCCACAGTTTCCTTCATTTTTCTTCTGGGTCACAGACCCAAGCGTGGCTTGATCCAGGATGCCTCTGCCTCCCTCCTGACCACATGTCAGGCAAAGGCCATGGACAAGGACAGGCCTGGATCAGAACCGAAGTTTCCCAGGCAGAAGGAACCCAGATGTAAAAAGAATGCCTCAGTGGCCTCACAGGTGAAGGGCTCAGGGAGACTCTTTCATCCCGATCCCCGTGAATCTTTTGAGAAAGGGACATAGGACCCTCTGGCTGGACTCTGCCATGCTCGCTGGTCCCAAGAGTCAAAAGTAAAAAGTGTTCTTCTGTGCAGTATCTATAAAGCACAGGAGGGGATTCCTTATCCCAGGGTCCTCCAGACCCTAGCCAGGGACCCATCCTCTCTCCATGCCTGAAATTTGTTTTCCTCCTTGCCCCACGTCACTGTGTGAACACTGAAGTTATCTTTGGAGAAGGCACCAGGCTCACAGTTGTAGGTAAGACATTTTCCAGGTACCTTTTCATGTCCCCTGTAGAAGAAAGTGGAGCCAAAATGTCCATTTTAGAGTGGCCGTATTCCGATGTGCTAACTATGACTATACCTTCGGCTCGGGCACCAGACTCACAGTTGTAGGTAAGCCTGGCATCTAGGTGGGGTGCAGAGGTGGAGGACTCTTTCCTGGAAAAAGTCACAGAGAAGGGAGGACCCAGCTTATCTCATGTCTGGGATTGGGGAGGCTCACTGCACGGGTGACTCTGCCCAGGCACCCGGAGGTTCTCAGCAGAGTTGAGCCGAGCCTGGCACAACCTGGTAGGAAAGGAGAGGGAGATGGTGCTGTCCCTCTGAGTAGTCCCCTGAGTTACGGGAGCCAAGAGAAAGCCTGGAGGGGAATTAAGAGCTGGGACATCTGTTGAGACTGTCAGGCTTTCTGTAGAGGCTTCAGATCTTCCCTTGATCTGTATTTTCATAGGCGGCCACACTCTGCCCCTTCTCCTACCCATCTGGGTTCTGGGCAAGCCCTGAAGGGCACGCAGAGTTGAAAGCAGGGCTGTGGCTGTGTGAGGAAGCGATCCATAAATGTCCAGCCTCACCCCGAATCCCAGCTGTGCTCAGCAGATAATGGGAGGTTTTGAAGTGGCCCGGGGAGGCTGTGTTCTGGAAACACCCTCTATTTTGGGGAGGGAAGCCGGCTCACTGTTATAGGTAAGTCAGGGTTGGAGAGCTGGGAACTTGCAAGGAGGGTCTAGGATCCAGATGGAGCCTCTGTCTTGGTACTTAGGTTAAAGCATATTTTTATTAGGAAGATCTGAATGTAAATCTTAATGTAGACATGGAGGGGACATCCTTCATCTCTAATAATTTCATAGACTGGCTGTGCCAAGCCTGGGTTCCCCTACAGGGAGGAAGGTAGACTAAGCTAACAAGGAGTCACCTTGTCCATCTCCTGTATCCTTGGAGGGTGCCCGTCTTGGCCATGATAGACAGGAGAGCGTCTGGCCTTACAGCTGTTATGGTCTGGCTATTTTTATCCCTCAGGCAGAAAGGAGGCAGATGCAGGAGAGAGAACATGGGGTTGGGGGGTGTCACACAGAGTCCTCTGACCACAGCATTTCGGGCTGCACAGTTGTCTACCACTCAACCTCCCAGAGTCAAAATTCTCCTAAAGAATGGCAGGTGGACTTGGGGAGGAAGGAACAGAAGGTAGCAGGGGGCAGTTTTCCTGCCAGGCTTTAATGTTGTGCAACTAATGACAAAATCTTCTTCGGCAGCGGAACCAAGCTGTCTGTCTTGGGTATGTAAAGGTCTTCTTCCAGGATAGTGTACTGCAAGGTTGGAGTTCCAGGAAGATGCCTTGGAGAGGCAGGGACTAAGAGCAGAGTTGGGGAAGGCTCCAGGAATGCGGGTGGGTGGAGTTCATGCCGGAGCCCCCAGAGCTCTGTGTGGAGCCAGCTCTGGAAGGAAGGGCCCTTGCCAGCTCTTCTGGGGTTTGCCACATGCATGTTGTGCTGTGTACCAACCAGGCACAGCATTTTGGAAATGGGACTCGACTCTCTGTCCTAGGTAAGGTGCAGGACCAGGGGTGGTAGATCCATTGCCTCTTGGAGCTGGAGTCTCTGCCTCTCTACCCAGTGCTGGCAGCAGAGAATTGAGTAAACTCACTTAGCCTGTGGGGGTCCCACGGAGCTGGGTCTGCTACCCCTTCTAGTGTGGCTTGGGTGACTCCTCTATGTCTCTTCTCTAAGTCTTCAATCTGTAATCCGTCTCCTTGTTCCTTTCTTGGTTCATCCTTCCTTCTCATCTGCATGGATCTGCCCCTCCTAAGCCTTTTCCTCATCTTCCTCTCGCCCCATAGTTTGCCTAGGCCCTCCTTGTTCAGTTCCTTTAGTGCAGAGCCATGTATCCAGGCAGAGAAAGGTGGCCAGACCTCTCTCAAAGAGCTAAGACTTGCCTCTGGCTGGAGATGTCTGGGTAGGTTTTACCAGCGCCTCCTGCACTGTGCTATAATTCACCTCTCCACTTTGGGATCGGCACCAGGCTTACAGTGACAGGTATGGGGGCTCTGTTCCTGACTGGGAGTGCCTGCTTGACCACAATGAGCAGGTGCTGGGAAGGGAATTGGGTGTAAGGACAGAGGTCAGAGTTGCCCCTTCCCACCTGCAGCCCTGCACCCCTCCTCCCGTCCCCAGGGCTTGTCCTGCTTGCCATTGTGCTGTTTGTTGAGGTCCGGGCTCCCTGTGTAGCCTCAGGGTTTGTGTTTTCTCACTCTTTTTTTCACTGTCTTCTGACTCCTCTCGTCTCTGCTTTAGTAGGTGCGTTGTTTTACTTTCCCTTTGTATTGGATATTCCCCATTTTTCCCTTCCTGCTCTAACTCCAATTCTGCACTGTTGACTCTGTTTTGCTGCCTCCTATGTTAAAATACTTCCCAGCATCTGCCTTCACCATAGAACTCTGTGTGCTTGCCTTAATGTTTCTCCTGCTCTACCTTTCTCCAAAGATCCATGTTTGTCTTCCTGTGATGGTTTAAAGGATCCAGAGGCAGTGGGGGCCAGGCTGGTGAGACCTGGGTGGTTTGAGGTCTGCTGCTGAGGCCGGAGGACAGAAGCACTTGTCACGGCATCGCAGGAGCTATGGAGGCGTCTCTGGGGTGCACTGTGCTTGGTGTGTGTTGAGGGGATAGGTCTGAATAAACTGTTGCAACTGGAAATTTATACTATCTTAGCAACAGATTAGATATAAAGAAGAGAAAATGGATAGTTGAACCCATTTTCATAAGCCTGTGGATCTATGCTGGGATAATAAGGTAAGAAGCCCATCATGAAACCCTAACATAACCATTACCCTGTGTGGGAGAGAGCAGGGCTGCAGGTGGGAAGGGGCAACTCTGACCTCTGTCCTTACACCCAATTCCCTTCCCAGCACCTGCTCATGGGGTGGAATGAACTGGGGTCTGGGCTAGAGGCATAGACAAGGCTGTAGGAGTGCGACATACAGGTCCTATGGGCAGGGCAGACACTGTCCTACAGGTGGGAGCATGTGCCAAGGAATGTAATGAAAAGTACAAATTACCAGAATCAAAGGCCTGCATTCAAGGGGATGAGACCAGGGATGGGGGCATCATGCAACTTGGTGAGTGACTTAAATAGTCTCAGTAAAAACATATGAATTGGAGGGACTGATTTAACTTATGGGACCAGCCTTTTTATTCCTGTTGTTTATCAGTATTGCTGTTTGCCAAACCTGCGTCTCAATCTTCCCATTAGAAATATTTCTTAAATTTAGATAAAGAGGAGACATCTGGGTTTGCCACATTTCTTCACCAAAAGCTCACTCCTGGAGTCAGAACAGAACAAAATGGAGGGCACAGTAAATTCTGGCAAAATGGAGGGTGCTTGGAGGATAGATGTGATTTCCTCCACTCTTCGTGTGTCTTCAGATGAGGTCATTCCTGCCAGTAATCCCAGAAATTCTTTTTCTCTTATTTGTCAAGCATGTAAAAGGGCCCAGGGCACCTCTACGGAAGTGGCCCTCAGACTTTGTGATCTGTGCATACCCAGCAATCAGGCTTTTACTACTTTCAAGAATGAAAAGCTTGGCTGTGAACTAGGATTCCAACCCTGACCAGGGAGGTGTGCCAGACCCTGAAAAGAAGAAAGGTTCACCCCCTGAACATTGCCTTTCATAGGATTGCAGCCATCCTGGGCAGGCTCATTCAACTCTACCACGGCTGCTGCTAAGTCTAAATGATGAGATAGCCGCGCCCTAAGCAGGGTTTTGAACTAAGAAGGAAGATAGACAGGTGCACTCTTTTGAAAGATGATCAAACATGCCCCAAAGTAAGAGACATTGCAAAGAAAGCCAAGAAAATCAGGACACAATGCCACCTTAGGGATATGGGGGAGAGCGCGGGCAGTGTGGATCCATGAGAGACCTGAGAAAGTGGGAGAGCAACCACAGACCCCAGGATAGTAACCCCACAGCAAACAAACCTACTAGGACTTAAGTTTACTTTATGATGAACTCTCTCTCTCTCTCTCCCCCTTACACACACACACACACACACACACACACACACACACACACAGAGCCCAAAGAGCTCTCAGAGCAGCCCTGGTCCCAACCCCTCTTCACCTTCCAGAGGACCTGAGCAAGGTGACCCCACCCAAGGTCTCTGCGCTCGAGCCATCG